ACATCTACCCACAACACGAGAACCCTGCCCACATCTACCCACAACACACTACCCCCCATGAATTGGGAACATCTCCCCCTGTATAATACTATACAGAAGATGAGATGTATGGCTGCAATAAATGTGGACAGGATTCTCATGGGCAGGAGATCCAGAGATCCAAAAACGCCCCACATACATATCTTAATTTGCATTGAAAACATCTTCTACTTATCATTGGAAGATGTTCTCAATACAACGTTGAGATGTGATGTAGGATATTGTTGGGCCACATTCTTTGGAGGGCAGATTTGAACTCCCAGTAAGTAACTTCTGTCTAACAAAGCTTTCTGGATCATATTTTTAGATTTTTTCCATATCTTTTATATATGAAGTTATATCAACTCTAGATTAATTAAAGATAACACATGTGCATTCGCCGTTTTCCAATAAGTTGCCGGAATGCAACGATTTTGTAAGAGAAAACAAAAATTGAAAAACATTTATCTATTTTCAGCGTACATTTGCATTAAAAAAGCATATTAAAATGTAAAGAAAAAGAAAACCCAGGATATCAACGTTATCTCAGTGTAATAGAACATGTAGAAAACCAAGTAAAACTAAAATGCTTCAATCCCATGAGCTTGTCTAGCATACCCTGCAGTCGTCCTACCTCCTCTATCAAACGGTTAGCTTCTCCTCCATCCTTCACCACCTCCACGTTAATTAATTCCTGACTATTAAGCTTGTTCTCTGAATTATCATTGGCTTCAATAATGGGCACAGATTCATTAGCATCAGTTTTTCTCTTAATGTTATTCGATTCGAGGTGTCCTGAATTGAGGTTACAGTTAGATAGTTCTGTCAACTTGTGAAATTGAGGTGGAAGGATGAAGTCATGCAGTAAGATCTGAAATCAAGAAAAATATCAGAGGCCTGAGGAGTTATTCCCCGGGTAGGCACTCCAACACTCAAGTCAGTAAGAAGAATGGGTGGTCAGGCCGAATAGTTGAGAGAAACGTATTAGTCCGAACAGAAGAAGAATAACAATATGGGTGCTGAAGAGTCAAAAGTCCTTTACCTTGAGCGGATGTTACCTACTTATAGCCAAAGATTCGTGTCCGATTTGGATGAGGCTTCCGGGGTTGTTGGGATGAGGTTGTCCGCCGAAGTCTTCGGGATAAAACCTAATCCCTGGCGGAACTGTCCTCCTGATCCATTCGAGGTTCTCCTTTTTTAGTCACGCTTTTCCATTTTACGTGGTGTTGACGTGGCCAAAGAGATAAGATGGCCGCGGAGGTGACACATGACACTCGGGGCCAACTCAACCATAACCCACACACCATAGCTGGTTAATTTGAGACATCAACAAATGGTTATCCCTTGCCTACACCATCAGTTGGTTTTCCATCATCTAGGCTACGCTATACAAAGTGGTCTGAGTTTCCAAAACCCACCTCCAAAAACCTAGAATCCTGTGTTTGATATCTTTTAGTGCATAAAAATATAATAATTAAAGTATATTTCATTCTAAGTGCCCGTGCAATTTAAAAAAAAAAAAATCATTGAGTATTGAGAAAATGAAAAAAAAAATGCAGAATCAAAGGTTGTCATATATTCCTTACCTGATCAACAGGAGAGTGCATCTCACAATGGAAGTTTCCTCATTACCTTCATGGAGCCTTCGTCATTCAATTGTACATGTTCGACCAGAACTTCGTCTCTCACACTTTACTTCTTGAGTATCAATGGAGAATTTAGACTGCATGCCCGATTATGATTTTACCTTGAACCAATGTTGCCTTCTGAGTTCTAAATATTGGAAGAGAGCAAGGTGCTGCAAGCCTACAACGTGAATGACCTGTTTTAGCCCATGCTTCATGGTGAGCTGTTGTGACTTATTTTTTTCGTCCAAAATGGTGAGGGACGATGGGAAGAAAAAGACACCTAATGAGGGACGATGGATGGTGTGAGGGAGGGGGGAGGATTAGAAGTGAAGGACAATAGGAAAAAGCACAAAAAAAAAGAAAAAAAAAAAAAAAAACAGAGGAATATTGTTGGATAGAGAGAGACGTGAATAGTTGAGTTTCCTGTCATTCATGACTGTTAATCGTGATAAATACTTCCTAATTTTTTGGGCAAAACCAGGGAAGATTGCCATGCCAAATGGCAACTCCATGGGCTTCTAGAAGAAATCTTGCACTCCCTATAGAATTGTTCCCTTGGAGTAACATTAATTTATTATATATATAGATTAGTTGATTGGTTATCAATTGAATGATACCACTTGATTGGTTATGATCAATCTTTTTAGGTATGACACTGTAATTTGATATCATGGTTACATTGAATTCAAAAAATGAATATGACATGTTTATGTTGAGATGATAGTATCGACAATGAAGTCATACAAAGAAGCCTAACTAGCTCCAATAGGTGATAAAATGAGAGAAAGCAGAGTGCATGAAAGATTTTTGACAAAACCTATAAAAAGAAGTGATTTGTTGCAAGTTGAAAGGGCTAGAAGGGGTAAGGATAGACAAAAAAGACATGGGTCAAAGTAGTAAGAAATGATTTTTTTTTTTTTTTTGCTTCATGGATCTATAGACCGGGGGACTAGCCCATCCCCCTCACTTTGGATGAAAATTGATTGGATTGTTATCAAAATTCTTAGGTATCAACTAGAGGGGGCCCGTGCAATTTACAGGATTTATTAAGCGAAGGCTAAACAATAGAGACACATACTTTTAATTTTTAAATAATTAATAATTATTAATATTTTGGGTCAACTATGATATCGGAAAGATATGATATCTGAAATTTTTTGACCAATCAACTGGTTCATAAATGTGGTAGCCAATCGGATGTTATTTATCAAAATTCATGGATGGAGTTTGATTGATCAAAACTCTTCCGATACCATATCTTTCCCGCATCATAGATTTTCCCTTATATTTCATATACTACTTTTAATAATTGTTTTACAATACAAAAATAATAATAATTAATTTCAATTAGGGTTGTTCATCAAACTGTTGAAACCAACCAATCTGACCAACTTGAACCGAGCTGGTCAGTTTTCTAGTGTTTTCGGTTAGCTTTGGTTCAACAATTTTCCAACCTGACCAGGTTGGATCAATTTCACTTTGGCCATTTGTAAATCGACCAAAATCAAATGACTTGGTCATTACGGGAAAGTGGAAAAATTCTCATATTTCTTAGTTTAAAATATTTGATATCATAAATTTATTTTTTAAATTTTATTTTTTAAGTTTAAAGTTTTTGAACCAACCGGCCAAACCGAAAAAAATGACTCAAACTAATACAACCCAAGTTGTCCAGTTTTCACTAATGGTTCGGGTGACCAACTCCCCAACCTAACCAAGTTGATTTGGTTGGCCAAACAAAACCAACCCATGAACACTCCTAATTTCAACTAAATTAATAGTTTAATATGTCTCTAATAAATAAAAATAGTTTAATCTCCAATAATTATTGAAAATTTATTCTGAAAATACATAATTAAGAAAAAATATTGATAATGAGAATACAATAAAAATACAATAATTACAAAAATACAATAAATACTAAAAAATTAAATTAGTTAATAAATAGTGTAATATCAAATAATAGTTTAATCTCTAATAAATATTAATCAATAAATTATAAAAAAAATACAATAAGTATAATAAATTAAATTTAAAAAGCTAAACAACAGTAGTTTAATCTCTAATAATTATTGAAAAACTTCTATTAAAAAAACAAAAATAGAATTATACATAATTATTGAAAATATATTTATCACAAAAAAAATAAATAATCATTTAAAATACAATAAATATTAATTTTAGTGTATATTAATATATAATAAATATAGATTATGATTTTAAAATTATTATTAATAAATATTAATTCTTTTGGAAGTTATTTTCTAGAATTGTTAATTAATATAAGTGAAATTAGTTATTTACAATATTATTTAGTTATTTAAATAATCCCATTATTTAAATTTGAAAATATTAATTATTTATTGAATTTAATAATCCATAAAATTATAATTTATACTATTATTACAAAATTCTGTTATTAAATTATTATTAATTTGAATATTATATCATAATTATTTTTCTAGTTTAAGATATTTTTTAAATTTATTACATAATTTCATTATTTTAACTGTTTAAAATCTAGTTATGTTATATTTCTTTAGATAAAATATTTAGTTATTTAAATATTTAAATAATATATAAGATATTTAAAATTTTTCGTTATTTGAAATAAGGGTATTTTGTCCATATGATTTACAAAGCAAGGTTTTTAAAACCGACCCGGTGATCGAACCGATCAAGGGTTCGATTACCAGGTCGAATGGTCCAATCTTTCGAACCAAACGCTCAACCCGTTCTGATAGAAAAAAAAATAAAAACAATCAAAACTGTTCAAACCGTTAACTGCCCGATTCAACAGTTTGCTGACAAAAATCAACGGTTTTGGGGGGAAATCCGGTTTTTAGGGAAAACGAACCAGTTCCCAGTTTTCCGATCCGACCGTTTGGTCCGGTCCGGTCTGGTTTTGAAAACCATGTTACAAAGTGTTATTAAAGGGTCAAATAGACTATTGAAAAGTTTCAAATGTCCTTTGAACTAAGACAAGCAAGTGCAAGAGGACTTAGTATTTGACCAAAACATGGGCTGTGGAAGTACAATTATAAGTAATTAAAACCCGCCAGTTAAGGGTTTGATGTTCATTGATTTTCAAATTTAGATAAAGCTCCGACGTTAGAGCATGTCTTGGATGGCTCAGACAAAACCCTTAGCCCTTACCACGGAATCAAAAAACTAAAATACCAGAAAAATGACTAAATTTAATGGGAGAGAAATGGTTGGAGAAGACTCCCAACCAGCCTTTTATCTATCCATCCCCTTTGTCTCCCTCCATATAACACCCCTACCTTAACTCTCTTCTCAAGCAGCCTTGGGCTTTCCATGATTGGAGCTGCACCAAATAACTAGCTAATTAACATGCGGTCCTCTGGCTGCTTTTTCCTGATTTTCTTACTCCTCTTCTCTTCCCAAGATTCTTTCTCCTCAGCTCTCTCTGAAGCCGAGGTCTCCTTCATTGCTCACCGCCAACTCTTATCCCTCCCGGAGAATGGTGACCTTCCTGAAAATTATGAATACCAGGTTGATGTCAACTTAACCTTCCCCAACGCAAGGCTCCGCCGAGCTTACATCGCCCTCCAGGCATGGAAGGAGGCCATAGTCTCTGACCCACATAAAATCACGACCAGTTGGGTCGGTGCCGATGTCTGTGACTACAAGGGCGTCTTCTGTGCGCCTGCACCCGATGACCCCAAGTCTACGGTTGTCGCAGGTGTCGATCTCAACAATGCTGACCTCGCCGGCTTCCTTCCCGTCGAGCTTGGCCTGATGAGTGACCTTGCGCTCTTCCATGTCAACTCCAATCGCTTCTGTGGAATCATTCCCCAGAGCTTCTCCAAGATGGCTGTTCTCTACGAGTTTGATGTGAGCAACAATCGCCTTGTTGGTCCATTCCCAATGCCAGTCACCGCCATGCCAGCCCTCAAGTACCTTGACCTTAGATACAACGACTTCGAAGGTTCGATACCTCCGGAGCTATTCGACATGGATCTAGATGCTGTGTTCTTGAACAACAATCGTTTCCAGAACGAAATCCCTGAGAATCTAGGAAACTCTCCGGCTTCAGTCATTGTTTTTGCTAATAACAGGCTTACTGGGTGCATCCCACATAGCATCAAGAAGATGGAAAATACATTGAATGAGATCATATTCACGAACAACAAGCTCACTGGTTGCTTGCCAATGGAGATTGGGTCGCTTGAGAATTTAACAGTTTTCGCTGCTGCGTCCAACTCGTTATCAGGTGTCTTGCCTAAAAGCTTTTCGGGGATAAAGAGTGTGGAGCTAATCGACATCTCAAACAACTTCTTAACAGGGTTTGTTCCTGAAGGTATCTGTAAATTGCCTAATTTGGTGAACTTCACCTTCTCGTATAACTACTTCAGGGGTGAGTCACCAGAATGTGAATCATCAAGGACGAAGGACGTTGTGGTGGATGATACAGACAACTGCTTCCCTGATCGTCCCAAACAGAAAGCAAGCAAAACTTGCACGCCGGTGGTGAACCGACCAGTTGATTGTGGAAAGTCCAAGTGTGTTAGGCCTTCATTACCAACGCCGTCTAGACCACATAAACCAAAGCCAACACCTGATGTGGAGTCTTCAGTAAAACCAGAAACCCAACCATCTCCATCACCAGTTTCACTACCATCCACACCAGAGAAACAAGAACTGACTCGTCCACCTACATCCTCCTCACCATCACCATCTGATCAGAAGTCAGTTCCTACACCTACAACTCCCTCTCCATTCCGTCCATCTCCAACACCAACTTCTTCTCCAACACGAACTTCATCTCAGACACCATCAAATCCATCATCACCTTCGTCTTCAACACCATCAACCCCATCACATTCATCTTCAACACCATCAACCCCATCTATAACTCTAACTCCAACTTCATCTCCAACACCAACTTCATCTTTAACACTATCAAATCCATCACATTTATCTTCAACACCATCAGGCCCATCTCTATCTCCAACTTCTTCTCCAACAC